TGCTCAAAATTACTTATTGAGGCAGTTGTTGAGAAACAAGAAAAGATTAACTTATGAAAGATTGGTTATGATTTTACTCCTGCTTTTAAAAAAGAAAAACAAACAAAATGAATTCCAAGCACCCTTAGTATAGGATAATGGACCTAGGAACTATGATTAACAATGGAAAAAACAAAGGTTGCAACTTGCAAAGGTTGATACTAGGGGTGTGCATTAAACGGGTCAAACCATATTTTAGACTTGAACCGGATCGGAATGGACCGGCCCTTTATAAAACAGTTCATGGTTTTGATCATAAGAATTTTAGGATTACGGGTTTCGATCCGGCTAGGGTCAAACTAGCAAAAAACATGGGGTATTTTTTCACAAGTAAACCTAAAAGTGAAAATAATATCAGGTTTTTCAGTTTTTAAAAACTATTTCAAAAATAGACTCACTAAACTTTTGTTTTCAAAAATGGACTACTAGTGCCAAACTGATCTACTGGAAACTCTACTGTTCATGTATCTACTAGTGCAATACTGAATCTTAATAAGGTTTCGTTCTTAACGGTAGAAATTACTAAAAAATTTGTTTATATAAAAATGTTATATTCATTGAAATTGAAAAATACGAAAACCATTAGAAAAAAATAAAACAAATAATAATAATAATAAATTTAATTCAAAGTATAGAAAAATCAAATTTGAAAATAAAATTCAAAAAATGCATAACAAAAATGAAAAATTGAAAACTTGCAAATCAAATTTAAAATAAAATAACAAAATTTAAATTGTGACAAGTAAATCTGAAAAAAGTAGAATTGAGGAATAGAAAATCTAAAAATTACAAAACTAGAAATATAAACAAGTTTATATTTGTTAAAAATGCGGGAAAGTTGTAAAACAAGTTTAAGACAATTTGTGATATATATATGTTTAAATAAACAAGTTTATATATGTGTGTGTGTGTGTGCAAAGAGAAAAAACTATTAATTCAAATAAACACCTATACTTTGAAAAGTTTCAAAAAAAAAATCTATAAATTAAAATATAAATACAAAAATAAAATCATACATTTTGTAAAATAAAATAAAAATACTAATAAGTTTTTTAAAAAAAATCAGAAATTTAAATTAATAAAATAAACATGTAAAATATAAAATATGAAAAAATGTCAAAAAACAGTTGAAAATTTGAAAAACAAAAAATCTGAATTTTATAACACGATATTCTTAAAATAGTTACAAAATCTAACTATTATTGTTATTATTATTATTATTATTATTATTATTATTTTAAGTACCATTGTATTGTTTCTTATTGTTGCCTATTGTTTCATTTTGTTGATAGCTTTGAATTTTATGTTTCTTTTTGTTTCTTTATGTTGTTGATATTCATAAAGTCAAAGTTCTTATTATAGATGATTGCATAAATCTAAATATGAGTTTTTTTATTCCAAAGCAGTAGCAAAGAGAAGTAAAAACCTAAACAAACAACAAAAATCCAATTCAACAATAAACAACAATATGAAACACGATGAAACAAAAAAAAGCAACATGTTGCAACAAATACACTACAACAAAAAATAACATTTTTTTTGAGTTGTTAAAAAGTCTTCAACTCTTCTAAAAAGATACATATGAAGCAGTCTCACTTGCAAATAAAGAAAAAGGGAAAGTTGGTCAACTATAAATAATATTAAGTAACATATCTCAACAAAAAACAACATGTTGCAACAAAAAAGCAACACACTACAACAAAAAGCAACACATACCATACAACAAAATGCATGTGAAACAACACAACAACACATAGATGTATCACAATAGATATATAATTGTATCTATTGTTTCAATTCAGTACATTTAGAATAATATTTTGACTTAGGTTCTTATCCTTGGTTCTTCTTTTTATGCATCTCAACGCACATTTATTCATAATCTACTCTTTTATCTTGATTTTCCTTGTTGATCCTCGATCTCAATCTTATTAGCATCACAATGCACTTATTTTTTGTGCGTCTGCAATAACAATACAATCACTATAATCCAAACAAGATAACAAAATAAGTACAAAAGGACTATTTATAGTATTCACTTTCTCATGAAAAAGTCGAAGTGATCAAGCTTTTCATAGACATAATTAAACAAAAACTGTAATCTACACAGAGAACAAAATGTCTATCATGAGAAGAGGTGGCTCTTAAAGACATCCCATTTATTAAGATGTATAGATTAAACTCTCCAAATATCCCCCTTCTAAAACTGTCAGTATAAATTGATCATTAGAAACACACAAGAATTAGTAATGATACTAAAAGTGGGATTTAATATGAGGAAGGTTACTAAGGGCAATGTTATCATAAAGTTGTGGGACCTTGGAGGACAACAACGATTCCGTAGCATGTGGGAGATATATTGTTGTGCAACATCTGCTATAGTATATGTTATGGATGCTGCTCATCTCGACAACTCAACGTTTCAAAAAGTGAGCTCCATGATCTTCTAAGCAATATCCACATTGGTTAACAATATCCAACCTTAATCCCAAAAAAGTTTGACGTCGGTTAACAAAGAAAGAAGATGACAAATCAATTGCATAACACGAATAAAAAACACGAGCGTGAGAGTTTACTTTACCAGGGGAAATGTGGTCTAAAGCTATTATGCAAAGAACAAATCCCTCTTCTATATTTCAATAAAACCAGAAATTTTCTATTCATTAATTAATTTGTTTTTCTTACGGAGTACGTGAATTTATCATGATACAGTCATACATACCTCATTAATAGTATACTGCTATTTTCTTTGAGGTCTTCAATACAACTCAAATCACTTAGAGGTAGCATCACATATTGCTAGACCTGCAATTCCTAAAGGACAAAAAAAATCCATGACTAGCTTAAGTCACTTAAATCCGCTTATGAAATGTAGTGTGTTCCCCACCATAACAGTATTGGTTCAAAGACATCTCATGTTAAACAAATTAAATCATCAATGACAATACTCTAAAAAAGTCATATTCTTATCAATAAATATTATGATATCTTAATGTCATACAAATACTGTGACATCATGGGCTATAATTTGACTCCAATCTCACTCACAATGGAGGGAAGAAGTTGATAAACAATAATTTATATTAGAAAGTACTTAATATTTTGAGTTTATTATTGGACCCTTGACCAATTTAAGTGCAGAGGAAGAGTATAGTTAAAACAAAAACACTAATTAAAGATAAAATAGATTAATATATATGCATATATAAATAACAAATATGCTCGATCAATAAAAACATCTCTACTAATCACTGATAATTAGAAGCGGAAATGATGTTTTATCATCACTGCGAATCATAAATAAATAAACATTGATATAAAACACATTACGGCTCATACTTATAAATTCAGCCATATTTCTGCTTCATTGATAATCTTAAATTCACAGATAAACATATCATAGCCAAAACATCAACAAGTAAATTTAAGATTGAATTATAAGTATTTGTTATTTAAGAAATTTTAAATATCTTCGATATAGCCAAAACTATAAGTAAATTTAAGAAATCAATCGCACCAATCAAAATTTTAAATTAGAAGTTATAGCAAACACACTTAGGAGTAATTCAATAATAAAACTAAATTACTACATGTTACCAGAAGAAGAACAGACTCATGACTTAATGAGCTTATGACCGAATGACTCGGATTTGAGATGCTTGGACCAATGAAGCGATTGAAATCCCGCCCTGGCCCGAGACATTTGGGGCGGGTCTGGCCCGCCCCATCTGACAAAATACAAATGGGGCGGGTCCAGGCATTAGTATTGACCCGCCCCGCCCCGCCCCGCCCGACCCGTTCAATATATAAGTATATACATACTTTTTCTTAAATAATACTACAAATATACTTCAACATACATATGTGTGTGTACAATAAATCATAAATTCTTTGATCTTATAATATATCAATATATATTAGATTGAGATGAATGACGGATTATCAATGTCTTCTTTATATATAGCATTTTATTACATATACTCAAGTATTAATATAATTAAATAGATTAACTATTCAAGTCTAAGTGATTTTTCCTTAACTTTTGAAATTTCTAGCGTATCGTGAATTTGATTTAATATATTAATTTTTAATGATTATTTAAATATAAACTTTATGTAGATTCAATTGGTAACAACTTCTCATAAATAAAAATACATACTAGCTAATTAGGTTACGACGAGCGGGGCGGGGCGAACCGGCCCGCATGGGGTGGGGCGAACCCGCCCCGCATGGGGCGGGTCACGGGTCAACAAGTTTGGACCCGTGCAGGTCACGGGGTGGGGCGGACCTGCCCCGTCAAGTCATGGGGCGGGGCGAACCTGTCCCGTCAAGTCACGCGGCGGGGCGGACCTGCCTCGTCAAGTCACGGGGCGGGTCAGAGTCTTGCAGTACCTGCCCCGTCAAGTCACGGGGCAGGTCAGAGTCTTGCAGTACCCGACCTGCCCCGACCCATTGCCATGCCTACGTGCGATGAGCTTCTCACCGGCATCGAAACGATGCGTTGAGCTTCTCATCGGCATCGAAACGATGCGTTGAGCTTCTCATCAGCGATGAAACGGTACGTTGAGCGGAGCCAAAGCTGATGGAGGAGAAACATCGGAGGAGTAGAACAATCGCACTTCAACTTCAGCGATGCCAGGGGGTTGGGTTTTGATTTAGAAATTAGGTTATTTTTGAAATAAAAAACTTAATTGAAAATAGAAAAGATTAAAATTGAAAAGAAGAAACAGTTGAGACATAAATGATATATAAGAGAAAAAAGTGAACCGTACATGTAATTTCCACAAAAACATGTCTTGACCGATGGCCCGTTAGGTGTTTGGATCAGTGTACAACCCTAGTCGAGACACATGAAGTGGATTCGGTGTGTTGGCTGGATTTTCATACATGCCCAAATTTGGTAAAGCCCAGCTCAAATGGTTGCCGAAAATTGCTAAAGCCCTATTCAAATCATTGGTTGGCTTACCCTGGTGTCCCCCTCCTTCTGTCTACCTTTTATATATACTCGTATTTTTCTGTATGCTTTAGAACCCTAAAATTATCTGTACTCGTTCGCTGTCATCGTCGTAAAACCCTATCTATCTCAGTCGCTTTTCTTTTTTCCTTCACTAAATGGAGTTCTGGGGTAACGCTTCTTCAACCTTGTTTTCTTTTCTTTTATGTTACTAATCTACCGGTTAGAGTGTGTGTCTCTGTGTTAATTCCCCTCGCTTTGCTTACATTTCCAATTTGTAGCAATTTAATATTTGTTCAGCAGTCTCTGTTACTTGAATCCAGTCGATTGTGTTTTTCTTCATTCTACTCTGTTTCAGGTGCATCTGTACGTATGTGTTCTGTAGTTTGATGCATAAAACATCAATGTTGGAATGTGTCCATATCTCTCGCCCCTTGCATGTTTGCTGCTCTCCACTCTGATACTGAGGGTTGATTTGGTGTCCAGGTCATATTAGTTTTAAGTCAATTCTTTGAAGGGATTGCTGCTGATGCCCTTGGAATTTAAACTCCATTGGGTACCATTTGTGGCCTCAAATATTCCGCTGTGTTCCTCACTGAATGATAAACATATGGATTTTTTGCTGTTTTAAATTAAATATAAAGCATCGAAGCAGCGTGGGGCATTTTTTATCACTGTATGTAATGAGACATAAAAGCGTTCCTGCAATATTGTTTGGGGTTGTATGTCCTTAGGGTGTTGTGCGTGTGTTTTCATGTTGTCAATGGTTTAAGTAGTCCTGCTAGTGAATATCAACCAGTTATTGTGTACATGGCTACTTTTTATGTTTATATAACAACATATGTTCTTACATTTAATGACAAAGTAAGACAATACATATCTCAATTTATTTTGCTTGCATTGAGTCTCAATATAACCATATTCAAGTGTAGTACTCTGTAGTTGTTAGCTGTTTCTATGGTAATAGAAGTTTTGGTTAGGGTAAAAATCTGCGTACAAATTGTTCTTGTGCGAGTGTGTTTACACTTTATCTCTTCTATCATTCTATTCTACAACCGCAACTAGAAATTTCATTCTTGTCTCTTCATAGTAACATTATCATTTTTCAGGCGCTGAGGTCAAAAGTGGACAGCCTCTAGCTGTGGAGCTGGGCATGGACAGGATTTTGCATCTTTCTCAGGTAAACTAGCTATAAACCAACATATCTGGTGCTTTAAGATGGATTCTGATCAATATTCATGTTATTATTGATCTTCAGGCCAATATTGGTGAGGTTAAGAAAGAGAAAGGTCATGAATCTATTTGTTTGTACGTCACTGTTGATGATAAAAAATATGTTCTTGCTACACTCAACACTGAGAAGCTGCCACAGCAACAATTTGACTTGTATTTTGAGAGAGACATTACAATATCACACAACTGGAAAAATGGAAGTGTCTACTTTCATGGATACGTGGGTTCAGATGAAATTAGCGATGATGAAGATGGTCAGTGCAGCATTCAGTTCAGCTCTACTCTGCATATCACATCCTTACTGTAATCAATCCTTGATGGCATGGCACTAACTCAGCATTTCCTTGTATACAGATACAGATATTGAAGAACCTCTCCAAATGGAAACCAAAGCAGCTAATGGTGCAAAAGACTGAATTGACTGCATTACTGACCATAATTCTGTGTTATTTACTAAACTTAGATTTTGTGTTTTGTTTTCAGGCAAACCCAACGTTTCTGTTGTCCAAAAGGAAGGTGCTGCCAAGGTTTCTGCTGCAGGTAAGAAGGTGAAAATTTCGGAACCCAAGAAAGGAGTGGAGGATGACAAAGAAGATGAAAGCAGCGAGGAAGAAGATGAAATGGAAGATGATGATGAAGATTCTGACTCAGGAGCATCAATTGAGGTAATGCATATATTTAATCCATGGTTTATAAACTGCATTACTATTTTTTATTGTTGACCTCATCCACTATTTTTTATTGTTAATATTACTATTAATAATTTGTCTGGGGCATCAGTCTTTGTATTTAACTGTCAATTACATAGGCCTTCTGTTGTACTCTGAAATTTTTATGTGCTTGTTATTGGAGTTCTGTTCGAGACTTTCTCATATCTGCTATGGGGGATACCCAGGCTTTTAAGGGATTTCACTTTGTTTTTTGTGTTTATGGTGTGTGATTTGGCAATGCATGTTTGCAGTCTTGATTTCAAGTGATGATGGTGTACATTAACATAATCATATCATTACGTATTTGTAAACTGCATTACTATTTTTTATTGTTGACCTCATCCACTATTTTTTATTGTTAATATTACTATTAATAATTTGTCTGGGGCATCAGTCTTTGTACTGCAACTGTCAATTACAGAGGCCTTCTGTTGTACTCTGAAATTTTTATGTGCTTGTTATTGGAGTTCTGTTCGAGACTTTCTCATATCTGCTATGGGGGATACCCAGGCTTTTAAGGGATTTCACTTTGTTTTTTGTGTTTATGGTGTGTGATTTGGCAATGCATGTTTGCAGTCTTGATTTCAAGTGATGATGGTGTACATTAACATAATCATATCATTACGTATTTGGAATTGGTATAAATTTGGTATGAAAGTAGTGTTATTTTTTCCTCTTTTGCTAATTAAGTTTTCCTTTCCTCTAGGATGAAAGTGATTCTGAAGAAGAGGATTCAGAAGAAGAGGAGAAAGAGGAAACACCTAAAAAGGTATTATAGTAATGATAATGACCTTTTCCTACTTTACTACGATTTTGACTTCACTCAATATCTGCTATTTGATTGGTCTTATATGGTTGAAGGTTGAAAGTGGCAAGAAAAGACAGGCTGAATCTTCTGCAAAGAAAACACCAGCTCCTGCCAAAAAAGTCAAATTGACTACTCCCCAGCAGAAAACTGGTTAGTGTGCTGCTCATCTCCTCTGTTGCATTTAATCTATGGTGTGGCGTGTTTTTATTTGAATCTCCAATACATCACTTTTCTATTGCAACTATGGGGATGTCTTATACATCAACAAATGTGGCTTTTCTTTAAAAATGATGCATGTCCCAGATGGGAAGAAGGGTAATACACATGTAGCTACACCACATCCTTCAAAGAAAGCTGACAAGACTCCTGTTGCTCAGAAGACTCCAAAATCAGGAGGTTCTCATCAATGCAAAGAATGCAATAGGTAAAAACTTAAATGGTTTCCCTAAATTCAGAGTTCTATTCAGTTCCCCACTGCCAATTCTCTAATTGCATTTTGCTTCAGGTCTTTTGGCTCTGAAAGTGCTCTGGGTTCCCACTCACAAGCCAAGCATAGTGCTGGAAAGTAAATTTGACCTCCACCCAGAGACAGGAGTATTTATAGGCAGTTCGAGACTTTTCTTTGTTCCCGCGGTTATAATATTAATGGAGGGAGGCGATTTAGTATGTTTTGGTTCCAGCAACTCTCTTTGTTAGTTCTAATTTTGCTATTGGAGTGGGGTATTCAAACTTTTATATTGTTTTGTTCTGTTATGATGGGATGTGATCAATCAAGTGAATGGCTATTTATTCCAAAACTTTTTCGTCCTTGCTTTTACGTAATCTACAATTTATTTTACAGACTGGCAATGCATATCAGTATACGTAGACAATATAAACAGAAAAAAGCAATTCTTGTGCTACTACGTAAGTAGGGTTGCAAATGAGTTAGCGGAGCTTAAATATGTGTAAGTTTGGATTTGGCAAGAATTAAATGTTTTTACTAAATAATTTGAGTTCGAGCATGGGTCAAGTTTTGCTAAGTATTTTTAATATGTTTGAGCTCAAGCCTAAACATAAAATAATATTAATTTGAACTCAAGCTCCAAAATTCCAAGTAAAAATAAAATTTCTATTTTAAAATTACATGTATACATAAAAAAATTAATACGGGTTATAATGTCTAGACTTTATCGGTTCAGATTAGACTATATTAGACTTAAATAGATTATATCACTAAAATTAAATCCAAGTAAAAACATCCTAATAATAGGATAATAATAATAATAAAATGTTATTATATTTATTATAATTATTACCATTATTAATATACATCGTAATAAGTATTGAAGATGGGATATCACAGTTTAGAATATACTAAGTATATTCCAAATATATTATATATAAAATATTTTGAATCAAGTTTTTTCATCATAAGTTTCAGAATATACGGAATATAACTGAATGTGTAGTTTTTTCATGAACATAACTCTTGTGCACATCTAAATAGTGTATTAGTGTTAATGTAGATAACTGTTGTGCACATCTGAAAAACTAATGTATTAACTAATCATGAAAAAACTATTGTGCGTATAATACACTAATCATAAATATAGTGTTAATGTACTCTAGTTTATACATTGATTACTATTTTTTCATACACTAATATTGTGCGTATAAACTCAACATATTCTTCTAACATTAACAATATATTCTAGTTTATACACTAATACACTAATCATGAATGTACAAAATATACACTAATCATGAAAAACTAATCATGAAAAAACTATTGTGCGTATAATACACTAATCATGAACACTAATCATTAATGTAGAATCTACATTGTAGATAACTTTTGTGCACCTCTTAAAAAACTATTGTGCGTATAATACAATAAATCTAATACTCTTGTGCGTAGTTTTTTCATGAACATAACTCTTGTGCACATCTAAATAGTGTAAAGCTTCTCTCACCCCCTCGTGACGAGCGAGGAGTGTCCAGAGGACGGCATTGGGCTTCCTCTCACATGAATTCTTGTACATGATTGCACTACCGACCACTCTCACAAATTCTCTGCACGAATGCACCGCTCATGCCCCTCTCTCTCTCTTTCTCTGCAATGCATAGTGTGACAATGTGCTTCTTTAATTCATTTTTCTTCTCTTTCTTATTTAATGACATTGATTAGTAACCATAACATGCTCGTGGCTGACTATGGCGTCGACAAAGGGCAATAGCGTATATGAAAAGAGAAGCAACATTGTGAAGAAGTCTAGTGATTCTGATAAAAATTGCAATAACGCAGAGCAGTAACACTTGCCAAGAAAATCACTCTTTTGCAACAGTGAATAGTTTTGTTTTATGCACATTTTAAGACGTTTTTCTTCTTTCGATGCTCTATTTTTTCCCGAATTCAAATCATTAATCGTTTTATAGTAACACGAATGTTAAAAAAACATGTCCAGTCATATTCTAGAAAATTGAACATTTTTAGCAATATTTAGGTATTTGCCCCTAAAGTATCGATCTATGATTGATCTATGATTATGTCGGTATTGAACTTCAATTTTTTTTACATGATAGATACTTTCACCATCTTAAATTAATGGTTATACTTTGTGCTCATAGTTTAAGAAAATTGTATTAACCACAAAACTATTACCCGTATTTACTTTCATTATAGTAGTAAAAAGGTAAGTAAAATTATCATGGTGAAGTTGTGTATTTGAATAAAAGGAAAAGTAAAATATGAATGATATATAAGAATATCTGCTAAAAAGGAGACATAACTTTTATTTTAGAAGAGTAAAAAAAAGGGAAAATCGCACATTTGACCCCCCAATTATCCACCATATTGAAGTCTCAAACCCGTATTTCAGGTCTTCTAAATTTCACCCCCGAGTTGTCCGAATAATTATAAATGTCACCCTGCCGTTATAAATATTGTAAACTCCGTCTGTTTTTGATTTTTTCCAGGGTTATAATTGTCATTTCCCAATCCTTTTCGTTTAAAGCCCTAATTCGAAGCCCTGCTCGTCCTGGGCTCCGCTAGCGAAGATTTTTCCATCAGAGGAGCGGAGGGCGGGTGGGAGAACTTGGTGGGCTCGACAGGGACGGAGTCAAGATGCGAATTGAAGAGGATGAAGGGAAGCGAAGGGTTGGAGCCGGGCCAGGTGAGTAGAAGTAGGGGTTTGTTTGGGGCTTGGGAAGTGAAATACAGAAGCTGGGATCAGAGGCTGGGGATGGAGCCGGCGAAGGCGGTGAGGAAATTGACAGCGGAGGGGTAGTCAGGGTTGGGATGGGGAAATGACAATTTTAACCCTGAAAAAATGAAAAACAAACGGAGTTTACAATATTTATAACAACATGTGTGACATTTATAATTATTCGGACAACTCGAGAGTGAAATTTAGAAAATCTGAAACACGGGTTTATGATTTCAATATGGTGGATAATTGGGGGGTCAAATGTGCGATTTTCCCAAAAAAAATTATGTAATTATCATATTGAAATAGAGAAAATATTTATGAATAATTAAATTGGAGAATCACAATAGAATTACTTTTAATTTTTAGCACTCCGTATGTAGGTATTAAAATGAGGGCCACCCTAAAAAAATCATACTTGCCCGCACAGGCCGTTTAGAGGTTCAAATTTAATAAAGGAATATTTTATGTCGGCCCAAACCATCATCAGTTCAGTCTTCTAAGAACATCCCCATTCATGATACTTAAGTTTACGGTTTTTTATGACTTCTTGTTGCCATATCACTTCCACATAAGATAATCTCAAATAATTTCCAAACCTATCAATTTCTCCCCACCCATGATCTTAACTTACCCAAATTTTTTTACAAAGCTAGTTATTATTAGTTGCATAGAAAATGGGAAGAGGAGCCTAAAAGTTATGAATAATCTCAAAATAATTCAGCTTTAGAATTTGATACCAGATTATTTTATCAAATAATCTCATAAAACAATCTCAACTCCCCATCCATGATCCCAAAAAAAAAATCCTCCACGTCATCAAAAAGATCAAAAAATAATCTATGGATGTGGATGCCCTAAGCAACGACTAAGAATCCCAGAATTGGAAAACGGATCCAAATGGCAAATTATATGGTAGATCCGGATGTACGGTAAAATACATCCTACGGCCGGCTGTACCGTGAGCAGGGTACAGCCGAACTTTTTATTCTCCGCGCAGCACATGTCGTCGTCCCCGAGAGGCTTCCCTCGCACCGTCTGGATCTCTTCTCCGTCCTCAAAGGCTTCGTTCGCATTATCTGGATCTCCAGTTCTCCGCAGGTCACTTGGTTCATCGCTTCCTCGCCACCGGGATTGCTTCGCTCACCTCTTGGATCTGAAAATGGAGCTATCAAACGAGTTCTATGGTGGATTTCACGATTGACGGGGAAGAAAGGACATCTCAACCCTAGATTTGGCTCATCTTTCTCCTTTTCTTGTTTTTCTTACGGAGTATACACGTAGTTTTACCGATGAGTATACACAAACCAAAAGTTGAACATAGTAGAGATTTAAATGAGGTTTTTTGAATTGTGTGATGCTCATTTCGTAATTCATGTATGCTCATTTGATATAAGAGTAAACTCATTCTTGTATGCTCATTTCGTAATTCATGTATGCTCATTTATGTAAAGTCAAACGAGTATAATGCCAAAAATGACCAAAAATGAATGAGGATACACAAATGAGATTTTGAATTTTTGTATACTCATTTAATTTGTAAGTTACGTATACTCATTTGGTATTGCTTTATGCTCATTTAAAATGTTTCATAGTTCAAACGTATCGTACTACATTAGATTCATATTGAAATAAATTGAAATTGATTATAAACATAATTTAAGAATTTTTTATAAACGGAAAAATAATAAAAAGAAGGGAAAATCGCACTCTTAGTCCCTGAAATAGTCACCATATTGAAATGTCAGACCCGTATTCTCGAGTTTGTAAATATCACCCCTCAATTGTCCAATTTGCTGTAAATGTGGTCCTTTGAGGGTGAAATGTACACTATGAGGGGTGACAATTACAACCTCCGAAATACGGGTCTGACATTTCAATATGACAACTATTTCAGGGACGAAATGTGCGATTTCCCTAAAAAGAAATTGAATTAGAAGATATGAAGCAGATATCACTGGTACTCATTGTTAGACTCTTAATGCTCAAAAGAACAGTCTCGGTGCTCATCAGAATTGCATAAATGCCCAGTTAAGAGAAATCATGAATTTCACCAAAATTACAAAATTGTCACCGGCTATACGGTGTCAGTCGTATAACTGGCTGTACCATATACGCTTCCCGGATGTACCATTCACATGGTACATCCATTTTTTTGTAAATATTTGCAAGTAATTTAGAGTGTGTGTGTTTTATCCGTTTCATTTCTACCGCATGTATGTGCTTCTTTTTTAATTTTCTTTTTATATTTTATATACTCTGTATCTTTCTTCTTCTCTACCTATAGTTTTGAGCTCATATGTCTTTTTTATTATCATGTATGTATTCCATTAGTTTCTTCTCGATTTATATGCAATTATTTCAAAAAATTCATATATTAGAAATTTAAAAAAATCTCTATTTCTTTCATTCTTCTATTACAAGCTCGAGTCTTTTAAATAATTATGAGTACATTATTTAAATTAAATGTGCATTGATGTAATTTTATAAAACAAACACAATAAATTGATAGGGCTTAATTATGGAATTTTGAATTACTTTTCTTGTTAAAATTGTTATGTTTCCGATTGTTAAAGCAAGCAATATATATTGAGTACATGAAGTTAGTTACATTAATTGATTTTGGTTAAACTAAAATGAATATAGTGCTTAATTATAATAAATGTTCATGAGTGAAAGATTATAAAATGAGCACAATATTTACACGGAATGTACATTAATATAACGCTTTGAGATAAACACTATTATGGCTCACTATTCAATGTAGATGTTTTGAAGCTTAATATGTATTGAAATTTTTATGCTC